CATTGTCTAAGGGCAATAAGTGGAATAAGGGTCACTAGTACCATTAGTGCCATAAGTGCCATAAGTACCATAAGTACCACAAGTACCATAAGTACCATAAGTACCATAAGTGGCACTTTTTGCACTTTACGGTAATGATTTCCGTTTGCTTTCTATTTTTGATTTTGTGAAAAATTGTTACTAACTAAAACCTTTTGAGCTTGTTAGAAAAGGAAACTAGAGATAAAAACAGGAAAGAGAAGAAAAATAATAGAACTAAAAATAGAAATAATAAAATAAAATAAAAATATAGATCTGTCGGCAATCCTTTAACCTTTCACAACGTACAATTCCTAAATCATCGACCTCAATAACAATTAATGTTTATTGACTAGTAATGGTTCCTGCGTTCACATAAAAAATTTATAAAAAAAATGTTGTATTATACCCTGGTCACTATATCAAGATCGCAGGGCATAAATCAGTTATACCCTGGGCACTATGTGTATAAGCGGGACTTTCAGCCCCGCTTATACCCAATTGCCCAGGATATAACTATTACTTACACAGCTTCCGTGACAAACAATATATCATATTGTATGTAACACAATATGGGATGTGGTTGCTGTTGTTATGGAAAATTTCTTCGAAATTTTCCTTACCTGCATTTTTTTTTGCCGTATAGTTTTTCTTTTCCATATGTATAAGCAGTAGAATATGTAAACACGATAGTATTAGCTCGTATACGGGTTCGGAACCCGGGGGTCAGGGTTTGAAACCTAGGATCCGGGTTTGGAACCCCAGATCTGGGTTCGAAACCCCAGATCCGGGTTCGAAACCCCAGATCCGGGTTTGGAACTCTTCCCCATCAAAATGTATAAATAGGACGCTTGCTTAATAAATAAAGTAACTCTTTCTTACTCTGCTCAAGTAATAATTACAGTGGATACATGACCTAGTTCTTTCTTATTTTTGTACCCGATAATAAATAATACGCACTGATCTTGTCTATGAAGTAGCACATAGTAACCAACCGGTAACCTAACTCAAACCTAAACGTAACCTGTGGTAACCTAACTCGAATCTAATGTAACCTGCGGCGAACTAACTCGAACCTAAATGTAACCTGTGGTGACCTAACTCGGACCTAAGCATAACCCGTAACGACCACTTCTGAATATAGTCTTATTAATCGATAATTATTACTACATACGAATCCGGGTTGTGCTACTTGCCATCAGGATTTATGCTTACGGAGCTGGACTAAATTGGCTTGGAAATACAAAAGCTCTCTCTAGTCATAACATTTTGGTGCCAATTGTGTGGAAGAACAGCAGAAGGTGTCGATAATCATGTGGACAAGTAGCTAATAATAACGATCGTGCGCTGAAGTGTGTGGATAAACGTTGAATACGAACGAACATTCATAGCATTATACGAATGAACGTTGATAACATTGATTGATTGTGCGTTGACAATTATTGTAAGCAAAGGGTTGATAAGTGTTGTGTGTATAACATAAACGATACTGTGTGGACAGGATTTTACGGTAAACATTGAATAAGGACAAAACGTTTCGGTAATAAGTGTGAACGTCACAACAGTAAGAGGACGAACGTGTATACAGCAATAGGGTGAACGAGCATAAATACAATAGTGAAAGCGAGCGTCAATATAATAGTAAAAGCAAGCATTGGTATAATAGTATAAGCGGATAATTGGTATAAAATGTGGAGAAACACCTTTAACGATACAAATCCCGGAAACAAATGCCACGATTATGAACCTAGGAATAATGGAAACTCACCTAGTAATGGCAATTCTCTTCAAAATGAATGTCTTTTGGATAGTCCGAACCTACCAACAAACCTGGATTATCGATTTCAACAGTTATTCCAAACCATGATAGATACCTTAGCACAATCCAAAGAACCTCAAGAAGCTCTTGGTGAGATAGATTATGTCAGAATTCCAACGTTTAATGGAGAAAATCAAGACCCCGTCAAATGGTTAAAGTTGATTAGACGAGCCTTTGATGCGAACAATATCCAAGGCTTATAGTTGGAAGTGCCCATCTGTTTGGTCCCGCTGCGTTGTGGTGGTCAAGCCAAAAAGCAAGAATACGATACTGAGACAATGAGGCAATAAAAGACCAAAGCTTCGTGCATCAATTTCAACAAACATTTTGCATGCCAGCATTAGTTAGTAAATGAAAAACGGAATTGCTAAATTGCCGTCAGTATCCTGGAGAGACAGTAGCACAATATGCTGTCGATATGGTGCCCCTATTTGAACGTATGTCTATTACAGGAAGTCAGTATTCAGAACAAAAGAAGATTCGAATGTTTTTGCAAGGACTTCGTCCTGAATTAGCATCGGCAATTAGACCCTTTAGGTGTGATTCGCTTTATGAAGCTAGTGAACGAGCCAGAATATGTGAAAAAATGTTCGTACAAGGATCTGGCTTGGCTCATCAAACCGTACTGGACACTATGACTCCTTTACAAATGTCCTGGATGATTTACCCTGTAAATTTCCTGGTAAAAACCTCTGCCCCGCAAATGTCTAATAGAATGCATTCTTTAAGTAATAAAGAAGTGGTTCCTGTAAAGCAAATAGAGAAAACGGGAGGGCTATCAAAAGAAATCCGACTGGTCAACCCCCAAAAACAAGCTTTAGTTGACCTTGAAAACAACGGTTCAGTTGGAATGGGAATTGAAGTAGATAGGCATAAGGCGTTCAGTTATTATCGAAGTGCAGCAAAACCTGGTGATAGCAATAATACCATTAAAAATAATAAGAATTTTACACTCCGGACAAGCTGTAATAGATATAGTAATGAAATTGGTGTTGAAAAGTATAAACCCAAGGCACCTGTTAATTATCAAAAGTCTGCGAAGATAGATCGCTCTATTGGAATAAACAATCTTGAGCATGGTTACCAAGATAAAATAGAAATTAAAATTAGAAAGGCCTATTCAGTGAAGAGGCGACGAAAGGATGACGATAATCTTGACAAAGTTGAGGCTGCATCCCAAAAAGAACCTATGGCGGAAAATGAACATATGAATAAGAAGCCGAGGCTTGAGAATTCTTTAAAAGCCAAGACACAAAAAAGATCACGTAAAAGGTTAAAATTTGTCTGAAAAGAGAAGTCAAATAATTCGAAAAGACATGTCAAAATGGAGACTTACTATGAAAATAACGATTGTAAGGCATTCGAACAATATTCGGACTCTGATAAAAATAACAATTTGAAATTAATCAAGAACCAAAATTTGAACGAATGTTTGGCTTTAGAGGATCATGCACCAAGTAAAGTCGATGATAAAAGACCCGAAGAAAAGGTCGACAAGATAAACGATTTTGGATGTTGTTATGATAATAGAATTGGAATAAAGAAGGATGATCGTAAAGCGGTTAAGGAAGGTATAAAATGTGTCAAGGGTGGAAAGTTGTTAGAAAATAAGTTTGGAGTCAACGATGAAGAATTGGAAAGGGAGTTGGAAAGTATATCAAGACGAATTGAAGAAGACGTGAATAGATGTGTCGAGAGTAATGGTCAAAACGATGTGGTTTGTACAGATACAAGGGTCAAAAATGTAATCGAAGTTGAAAATTTTGAAGAGATAGATGTAGAAGTTAGTAAGAACAACGATAACATAATCCAAACGAATAAGGAAGAAAAAGACTTACCACAATTAAGCAACAAGCTGGCTCTGAAGTTCGAATGCACGAATAAAATGCCTGATGCTAAAACTGCGGAAGACGAATATAAGTTGTTTAATACGAAGGCATATGAAGAACTACTTGTGGGTTTAAATAGATTAGTAAAATTGAGACCGAATAAGGTCAAGAGATATGAATTGTACACAAACCACTTTGGCAATGGCAACTTGAATGAACTATGTAATCCGGAATGGTGTTGTCGAGACGATGTGAGATTAGAAAGCAATAGAAAAAAGACGTTTGAATGGAATTCGAAAGCTGAAGAAGACTGGATTAGATTTGAATTCAACCCCGGATGAGAAATTCGAAGGGAGGTTGACACCAGGAGGCTGTTGGCGGGTTCGACGGAGCTCACCCTTTAGAGGAGGAATATGTTACGGAAAATTTCTTCGAAATTTTCCTTACCTGCA